CAAAGCACCATTTATATAAAAGAGGGTCCTTAATTCATGTCTAAAATATTCAAAATTAATAAATTAAAGATATAATTTTTCATTATTATATACATAACAAACGAGATGATAAAAAAATCTTCAAAATTTATTTGACATTGACACATGTTTTATTTGGAGAAAATTTGATGGTTGTGATGGTTTTGTCATTCACTCGACTAAATAATACTCTTCTCAGAAGAGTTGGAAGATGGAGACCATAGCGGAGGAAGTGTCATAGCTAGACTACAAATTGAAGCGCTATACATTCAAATCTTGAAAACATCAATTGATTTGGAGCCTTTGAATCAAAGATAATAATTATCAAAATTCTCTGGTATCTCAGCTAATTGAACCAATAGTAGTCAAGGACAATAGGGACACAAGCTCAACAAACTATAATGGTAATTAAAGCAAATTAAAATTTCATATAAACACCAAGGTAGATAGAAAAACAGTAGGATAATTGCTTGTTACTAGAATCATTGGTGAAGAAATTCTATTGAAATATCAATTGATGGAATCTCTATAACATCTTTTAGCAACTGAGTGTCCGACTTATGAAGCACAAATTTTAGTTGAATCGAATTTTGGAGTTGACTGAGCTACCAAATGGCAAGAAATCACTGCATAATAAATAAGTTTACAGGCTGAAAGAAGAATTTAATGGTAGCAAATGTTATAAGGCCAAACTTATAATTAAAGTTTTCAGTAGAAGGAAGGAGTGAAATACACTAAAATTTTCTCTTTAGTGGGGAAGATGAATACAATCAAATAGTTGTACATGATGAACCTCAAGGATATATGATCACAAGTAAAGAAGATTTAGTGTGTAGACTAAAAAGAGCCTATATGATCTAAAGCAAGAACCAAGATAATGGTACAGAAGATTTGAAATGTTTATATTAGACAATGGGTACACGAAGTGTCAAGTAGATTATTGTTGTTTTTTCAAATATTTTGATTATTATTATACAATTTTGCTCTTGTATGTTGAATTCATGGTCTTGCAGGGTTAGATATGGAGAAGATATGATATTTGAAGGCGCAATTATCAAAGAAGTTTGAAATAAAAGATTTGAGTCCAACAAAGAAAATTTTCGTATGAGAATCAGCAGGGATAAAAGTGCAGGTGCACTGAAGTTAACTCAGGTTGAGTAAGTTAAAAATGTGTTGTAAAGATTCAACATAAGTGATGCAAAGACAGTTTACACTCCCTTAGATAGTCACTTTCAATTATCTAAGGTGCAATCGCCTAGATCTATAGCAAAGCAAGAATAGATGGAGAGGATTCCGTATGATTCTACAGTTGGATGTTTGATGTATGTTATGATCTATACCAGACCAGAGATAACATATCCAATGGGAATAGTTGACAAATTCATGAGAAATCTAGGCAAACCTCATTGGGAGGAGATTAAGTGGATTATCAGTTACTTGAGAATGTCAGTTGATAAAGCTCTTTGCTTTGGATATACATGGATTGAACTATAGGGAAATGTAGATTCTAATCTTGTTAGAGATCTTGATGGTAGGAGGAGTATAATATGTTATATCTTCACTTTAGAAGACACAGTAGTGAGTCAGGTTTCCAAGTTACAAAAGATTGTTGCACTCTTATCAGTCTTGACTACAAAAGCTAATATTGTTATTTGTCTAGCCAAGAATGTTGCATTCCATGCCAAGGCAAAACACTTCCAGCTTTGGCATAATTTCATCAGATCGCTAGATCGCTTTTGAAAGATGGTCAATTATCTTTGTAAAATATACACACGACCCATAATCCTTCATACATGCTGACGAAAATGGTGACAGTTGATAAACTGAAGCTATATGTAGCTTTAGTTGGTCTTCATGAAGGCTAAGGGCAGGGAAAGCTACACTACATGTAATATGATGGGTGTTATAGATCAGGATACAAATTGATTGTAATCAGCATCCAAGCGGGAGCTTATTAATTATGTGTGGAATCTATATGTTTTAATCAATCAAGTTGTATTGTTTATTCTGACCTCAACTCTGTTATTCAAGTTTGTCGGGGGATTGTAGGGGGGCCTCCCCCTGCTTTGGGTTTGGGGGCCTTGCCCTAAGAATTTTTCCTGTATAATGATACAACGTTGCGGTGTTGTATACTCGAGTGTTGTGTTCTCTAGATAAAGACAGAGAACGGAGCGCCGCAGCGCTCCAAACCCTAGCGCTAGCAATCAAAATGGAGATAGAGATTGGAGCGCTATGACGCTCCAAACCCCAGCGACACATCACTGTGAATCAGGCTGAATAATTTTCTTTCTCATTTTTTATATGTAACTTGAAGAATTACGTCCCTTAGGGTGATTAATATGTCTCTTTGTTAGTTTTGCAAGTGAACGGTGTGGAGAGTGAAGAGAGACAAGGAGAGAGTAAGAGATGAATTGATCTATATAGTTTTTCCCATGTTCATAGTGAATTTCTGTGTGGTTTAGCTCCGTGGTTTTTTTTTCAATTTTTTTTACATTAAATATTGGTGTTCTTTCATTTTTGTTGTTTTTCTTTTCGTGTTTGTGTTCATCGTGTGGCTTTACATCCCAAAATGTTGTTTGTGAAATGATTTTATCATGCCAAAAGTCATTTAAGCCGAAGTTATTTTTGATTGAAGAGCTCCATTTTTTTTTAAGTTATATTTTTTGGTGAATCCATGAGTTAAAACTTAAGTGCCTTTTTGTATATTAAGGGCAAGTTTGTTTCATTACAAGTGTCTGCAAATGATTGAATCTCGTCATCAAAATTGAGTTCAAGCTATTTTTGTTTTTTGGGAAGAAATTGAATGGAGTGAGTTCACTATCTAGGAACGTACATTCAAAATGGTGAGAAATGAGTTTCAATTTAGAGGGCTAGGAAGATAGTTTAAGTGTTGCTATTTTATTTTAAGAACAATTGAATAATACTAAATTAATGGGATGATGGGTTAGAATATTACCTTTTACTTATAATAATGATAAAATTATCAACAAATAATGAGGGTGTTTAAAAATGAAATTTACCAACATAAAAAAAATAATTAATATGTTCCTGTAATATGATTCATTTCCAGATTAAAATTTAAATATTTATAGCAAAACAAATTGGCCTTAAGTGAAAGTTGTTTTTCAAATATCTTAAAAATATGTCTCGACTCAACAGTGTTTGATTCTAGATAAATATGGTGATTTGAAAATTTTGTGGAATGTTAAAACCTCTTGCTATAGAATAGCCATAAGATTGCATATTTTGCAGTTTTAGTTTTTGCTAAGCTATTGTTTTGTATGATGCGAGCATTCAGGTGATATTGAGTCTTATAATATTGAACACTTTGATAGTAGTGATTATCATCTCATAAAAATTAGTCCACTTAAAAAAAGAGGCTCATAGATCATATTTTTGTCCTCTCATAGTTGATCCCATGTGGATTTTTTTATTTTGCAAAGCTTTATGTTATTAGATTTGTGCAATTTGCATCTAGGATAAGTTGATGAAATTCAAACTTAGCGCACTTGGGATTATATTATAAAGACCATTAAACTCTTCATTATATAGGAGATGAAGTAGAAGTAGCTAGGTAATAGAAAATCATGTATTCCTTATATCAAGATTGTGAAGGTTAACTTACCATTGTAGAAAATTATGTTTTAGTTCTTGTTATTTTGCATAGCAAGAGTTTAATTTCACTCTTGGTTATAATATCATTAACTTTTATTTTTACATTGGTAAAAAATTTTGATGTTGACTAAGGCTTCATTTGGGACGGCTTTCTTACTACTTCTTAAAGCAGCTTTTTAGTATAAAAATTTTAATTTTTGAACTAGAAAGCTATTTTAAGAAGCAAAAAAAAAAAACGTCCCAAATTAAGCCTAAATATCACCTTCAAAGAAACACTTGTTATTAAGCTCGACTAGCTTTGTTTCGACTGGACAAATGGGAGAAATGATGTTCCGTGTTTAGTAACATGTTTATTGTTTTCCATGAAATGATTAGAGCCTTATCTTAAACGTAGCCCAAATCGGAATGTTCTTATTGTTGCATTGAATGCTTGATTTTATTTTCTCTTGCCAAGATCAAAATTATTGATTTTGATATGTTGTTAGTGGAAGTGCATTATTTGCTTGGCGTCATAAGTCTTGATTTTTTGTTGCTCCTATGAATCATGGGCTAAGCATAACTAATAAATTCATTTTATGTAACAAGTTGGAGTGTTATGCCAGATGTTTTTATGTTCCTTCATCTGTCGAAATTCATTTGAGAAGCATGTACGGGAGAAATTTATTTATCACCATCTTTCTGAAGCCTAAGTTAATGATGATTTTCCCTCACACCAAAGCATTATTTCACATAGTTGTATGCGAGCATATGCACACACACACACACATTCATTTTGATTATCGAGGTGCCATTTGTCATGACATTGCATTCCTCGCATCATTTGAGAAAACAAAGAAAAAAAATGGTAAACAACAAAATAACTTCAAACTTCGGAGCCTTCTCGATAAAATTAAATTAAATGGGGGATTTACATACATACCATTTTATTTCATGCTATTTACATATCTAACACCCAAAACTTTAATATTACATGCCTACCACTCATAGAACAAATCTAGATGCATGGAATGAAATATTAAAGTTTTATAGGATGGTATGGGTGGTAAGAATGAAATATATGAGTGATATATTTGATATTAAAATTTTATATGAGTGATAGGAATGTAATATTAAAGTTTTAGATGTTAAATATGTAAATAGCATGAAATAAAGTGATATGTATGAAACTACTTCCACAATGAAGCAAAGCTATTTCAACTATTTAATAGTTGCCTATGGCTTCATTTGGGACGGCTTTCTTCTTGCTTGTTAGCAGCTTTCTAGTTCTAAAATTAAAATTTTAGAACTAGAAAGCTGCTTAAAGAAGCAGGAAGAAAGCCGTCCCAAACGAAGCCTATGTCTTGTTCTTTTTAATAAATCCCAAGTCCTATTTAAGCATGCTTATTGGTTGACACATTCTTCAGGGCCGACTGAAAATAGCAGACTTTGGTTGGGCTGCACAGCTACAGGCGCATGTAAAGAGACAAACTATGTGTGGCACCATAGATTACCTTGCTCCAGAAATGGTGCAGAATAAGGCTCATGATCAAACAGTTGATAATTGGACACTAGGCATTCTTTGCTATGAATTTCTTTATGGTGTCCCACCATTTGAAGCTGAGGATAAATACGATACTTTCAGAAGGTACGATGTTATTCCTATTACATTATGAATTCGTTTGGGACGGTTTTCTTACTGCTTTTTAAAACAACTTTATCTAAATTAAAATTTTTGTACTAAAAAACTACTTTAAGAAACAATAAGAAAGCCGTTTCAAACGAAGCTTAAGTTGTTACCATATGTATTTCTTAATCTTGAACGTTATGATATACCAGGATTCTTAAGGTTGATGTTGTATTCCCTTCTTCACCTCTTGTTTCTCCAGAAGCAAAGGATTTAATCTCCAAGGTAGGTTCAGATATCATCTTCTTTTCTTCCTGGACACTATAAAGGAATAATTTCTTTTTTCTAATTGTTCCTTTATACTTGTAGCTTCTAGTGAAGGATTCATCGAAGAGGCTCTCTCTGCAGAAAATTCTGGAGCATCCATGGATAGTTCAGAATGCAGATCCTTCAGGATGTGGCTTCTAGATGAATAAGTTCTTGACTTCTAGATGATTCCGTATTTCTATTTTCTAGCAAAAATTTATGTTTTGTTATTTTTATTAGCTTTTGGATTTAGGGGCTATTTGGTATGCTGAATTAAGAGGGCAAAGTAATTAAATTACGTGCATTTCATAAATTACACTGTTTGGTTGGTTTTGAGCGGAATGAAAATAATTCCTCCGAAGTATTACCAGTGTATTGCCACGGGCATTTTGCGTGACTTCAAAACCCGCTCAATTTGAGCAAGTTACAAAATATCTCACGCAAAATACTGTGAACCAGCCTCGCACGAGAGAGTAGAAAACTCGCAGAAGAGGAATACCTTCCTTTCCAGATCGTCAATTTACCGTCACGGATCTTTGAGGTAGGGCTTTCTTCTTCGGCTACGCTGGTTCGCGTGGGGCAAAGCTTCCAACGAGTCGCTTGCCATTGCCTGTCGAGGATTTTCTTTTCCTCTTTTGCATTTATTCCTTGCGCGTGAAGTAGAGTTCTAAAATAGCCGATGCTTCTCCGCCTCCTCCTGCGACGTTGTTCCTGTCGGATCTGAAGTGGCACCGGAGCTCACCGCGAATGTAACCATATTTCTCCTTTTTTGCTCGCTTCTTCGGTCGGATTTACATAATCTGCAAAGAGTTCGAATTCAAACAGGCCCTACATCTTTTCTCTCAGAGCCTTAACGACTTAACGTTCACAGCTTTGTTCAATCATGACCGGAGGAGGTAGGCGTCGGGAAAATTCGATCTCTCGAAGAAATCCATCAAAGCAGAAGCTCCGGCTTTCCGCATAAGAGGTTCTTGAAAGCAAGTTTTACTTCATTCTCTTCACTGAATGAGAGAAGAGGCTCGGATAGCTGCTAACCCTATTGTTGATCAAAAAGTACCTCCAGTTTCTGCTGGAGATTTGAGCTTTGGATCTGGCGCTCAGCTCAAAAAATCTGTAAATTCTACTTCAATTTAGCTTTGAATATTCTCCGATACATTTATTTCTTTTACTGTAGTTCTACAGTATACAACTCTTAAATATGTAAATCGAATTGTTCTTTCACAGATTTAGTGCTTGTTTTCTTGTTTCCATTCTTGTTATTATGTGATTTAATAACCAGTATTTTTTTTTTTGGCCACATAGGATTTCGTTACAAAAAAAAAGTTAAAATGATCCCAAGTCATTTTAGTCATGCCCTAGACCACTATAATAGACTATAAATCTATTTAATTTAGTTTATTGACTCCTCAAATATGATTTATTAGTTCTTTTGTTGGATTATTTTAGATTAGATTTGAGCAGTTAAATGTATTATTATGATTAAGTTTGAGGAACTAAATGGGACAAATTAGACTATCTAGGAAAAAAATAGCTCCTCGTAAATGATCTAATGAACATTTTTGACGTTTCGCTCATTTAGATACAGTTAGTTTAATGTGGCAAAATGAGATGCTAGGATGAATTTTCTCGAGGAAGGATGAACTCTGAATTACTCAAATTAAAGCAATTGTCACTGTACAACTCTTGACCATCAGGTTATAAAGCATTTACATAGTTGTTTTTTTGCATGTATAAAATGATGAGAGATGTGTTGATGAGTAGATAGAATACTGTAAATAGAGAGGAATGAGAAGGGATTGAACAAAATGTAAAACCCATATTGATGGACACGAAACTGCTGTCCTGCTTATGCTCTCTAGCTGTCCCTTTTTTTTTTATGTTAGGATGTTGAGTGCTCTTCAATCAAAACTTCCAGAACCTGTGGTTTCATTTTTTCTGGATCTCTCAATTGATTTCTATGCATGAACATATTTTGTTACTTCAATATATTTTTTTTGATATGCTGTAATGAAACTATGGGATCACCCTAAGCGGCTGTTTTGCTGCTAGTACTGATACACAAATAGCATCTAGTATGCAAATAACTTTTGATTGTAGCATAAAATTGCTTGATAGCTAGAAATGTGGGTAATTCGTATTAACCTGTCTGAATTGACTGGCATGGTGTCAAAAAAGTGATGGAATAATGCAGCCTCAATTTTATTTAGTCACTTGTCTATGGCTAACCTTCAAAAAAAAAAAAAAAAACACATGCGATGCCATGATTGATTAAAGGTACTGCATGAACTAATGGAGAATAGGAAATCTAATATTCAAGGTCACTTTTGGCCAAGCATTCTCTCAAGCTCTGCACCTTGGTGTCTATTTGTTGGTAGTATATTCTAATGAGGGGATACAGTGACGCAATGAGACATATAACAATGAAATCATAGATTTCTCATTACCCAATAAATAAGCATTTCAGTGTAATATAGCATCCTCATTTTGGTTTTGGCATTGAGATGATGGCATTGGGATGTTTAGTTCGCTTTTAATATGAACAAATGGTTTTGGCATTCTCATTTTGGTTTTGGCATTCCGTTTGATTGATTCCAGGTAAGCTTTCTTTAAAAGATAGAGGTATCTGAAATGCTGGTGTTCTCTTCATGTAGGACACTGCCGTTATCAGAGTCTTCTATAAGATCAGTTTCACCATTCTTCACTTGCCAAGAAAAGTTCTCATATTTTTTAGACATTTGCATGCTTTACTCTGAAATCTGTATTTTGATGCATCTCAAAATTTGAAATATTCATATTTGATTGTTTTGTCCAAGATTTCATTTACATTTTTAACATGGCCAAAATTTTATACTTGTATAGTTGTAGAATTTATGTCTACAATTGGAGTCAAAATGTTTGTTCTGGCCTGTCGGGGAGCTACCCCATTCATTAGAAGTACTCTTGTTGTGCTCTATTTTGTTCATTCAAAGTGATTTTTTTTTTATCGCGGTGCACATTTAGATTTCTATTTCATTCTAATTGTTGTGTTTAAGTGGTATTCAAATATAATTTCAAAAGATTCTCAAAAAAAAAAAAGATCCTCAATGGCATATACAACGTGACCTATATCTTTCTAGGTTATATTATGGATAAATAAAAATTTTAAATTTAAAAAATTTAAAATTAAAATTTCTCTATAGCAGAAGTATATTTACGTATATTTGCAACACATTGTTAAATTAATACACAACAGAATATTATTTCTTATAAACTAATTTTTTTTTAATAAGATAGTGCAAGAAATAAATATATTGATTTTTTTATAACACCAAATAATACTAATTATTATAAATATATTGCTTTTATAAATGTACTAGTTGTAATGCAAAAATAAATTATTATAAATCATCCTGCGTTTATTTTGCAAACAACCAAACAATCTCAAAGTATTCAAAATGCACTATATTTATTTTACACTGCATTTTCTTTTCATGCAACCAAACAACCCCTTAGTGTAATTGCTGTAGGTCTAGCTCATGATTCATCTGTTGAAGCTTGCCACTTGTTTTGATATTGTATACCCTGTGAGTTGAGAGACTCTGACCTGACACTTATGCATATTTATACTTTTTCGATGCCATAAGTAGGAGAAATTATTTTGTGCGGAGACCGGACACAGAACGTAGCTTGGAGACCAATCCGAATGCACCACGTCAGCAGTACCGAGCTGCGGTATCGAGCTACGATACCAAGTAAGGGATGACATGGCGCATTCTGGTTGGTCTCCAGATCGCGTTCGGAGTCCGCATAGAATAATTAATCCATAAGTAGGGATTTTGTGCCATGCGTGCCATTTTTTAGCGAAGGAAAAAAAATTGTAGCATGCATTTTGTAGTTTTCTGCTCTTTATATTAGGATTCTTTCCTCAACACTTCTTTACTAGAGAATTCTTTGACTTGCAGCCGCTCCATTGTACCAGGTGCAACAAAGGTGATCATGATTACGTATATTATGGTTGTTATTGTGTTTGATTCGAGTTAACATGATCAAAACAACAAACTATGGGTTTGACATTATGCGGCGTTGCTTAAATGACATTCTTTCGTGAAATAGACGGTGTCGTTGCACCCATAACATTAAATTTTTTTAAGATATGGCTCATATCGCTTCAGTTCTTAAAGTTCTCGCAAATAAGGGCGAAATTTCTAGACATTATCTTATCTCTAACTAAATTTGTCTTCCGAAAATTTACCCTACCTCTCTTAAATCTGTTAAAACTCTCCTCGAATCAACATGTAGAGGCTAGGGTGACAAAACTTTTTGGAGCCCACAAGTACCAACATTGCACTAATTTGAGCAGTAGCCTTCTTCTTTAGTTAACAGCAGTCTTCTAATTGTTAACTTTGTATATTTGAGAAATGACCTTCTTTAGTTAGTAGTGATGCTGAAGGTGATATTGATATGCAAGTTAGTCTGCTTTTATGTATAAATACTGCGATTTTGTTCTATTTTTGTTTTCTTATTGCTTTTTAAAGTAAAATTTTTTAGTATTTTTTAATCATGAAATGAATAGAAAGTTATCCTGAGCGAAACCTAAGTTAGAGCGAAAAATAAAAAGGAGAAAAGAATCTAAAGTAAGAAGTTTTAGGTTAGAATGTATAAGATTAATAAAAATGATTAAATTTAAATGACCCGCACTATGGTCTTCATATTTATTGGCTTGTATCAAAGCACAATACTAAATGAAGTATACTGTGGCAACTGCATTTATTGAAGACAGACAAAATAGTTAAAATAATTATTCTTCTAGAAAACAAAAAATTTCAGGGTGCACAATTACCCATCCTGAACTCTTCTTTGATCCTCTTCATATAACATATGAGCTCTCATCTTTTTGAATTTTGAGATCCAAATATCATTTAAAGTCAAAAAAAAAAAAATCTCTCTTGTTTTCCAAAGAAACTAAAATGAATGGTACTGCCAACAAATTAATTTAATTGAGATTATATATTGAACTCCATTTTTTTTTTTGTATCTATTCATTCAATAGCATACGTAGTGCCAATGCCTAAGATTTTTGCTATGGTCATAAGAAAAATTTTTTTAAAATAATGCTAATTATTGATTATCCTATAAATTAGGCGACCATTCCATCAAAAAAAAATTTTTGGTTGCTTGTATTAAGAGTTATTTGTTCGCAAATAATAATAGTGAGACATAAACCAAGAAAAAAAAAACACAGAATATTGGCCATTAAAAGATACGCATAAATTTCAGTGTTCTTGAGATGAGGAAGCTCAAATGGATGTGGGTCTTTACACTTACAGACAAAATTTGAAATAAGTATGATACGCCGTTAAAAAATTATCTTAATCGGGCGCGAATCTCGATGCAAAATCAAATTGAAAACTTCAAAAACTAATTCGGACACCATTCAAACTCAAATTTTAGCAAACGTATAGTCTAACTGAGCGTCTCGGAAATACGAACCCAACGACACCAAATTCGACTCAATCTGAGCCCAAATGGGTCCAAATTAAATCAAGGATCCGAAGCGCAGTTGGAAGGTTCAAACCACAATTTGGATTACTAAACGGTTACCAAACATAATAAGCTTATACTCGAATCGAGCGGCTCGACGAGAAGAATCCAAAAAGCCCAAGATTGCCAAATTCCGACATCATTAAGGTCTTCAAATGTCTAAAGAACGGTGCAAGATCAAGCGATTCAACATCGGCCGTTCATCCGACCACTCCCCATTTACCCTTGATCTCTCACATATTTACAGGCTATGCCGCTCCAAAAATCTAAAAATAGAGCTCCCTCTCCTCTTGAGAGAGGACACCCCTAAGCCTAAGGAAAAAAGAGAGAGATCGGAGATCGCTCTTGCTTTCTTGCCTCCTCGACCACCGCCTCACCTCCGCCGGACCACCGCCTGACGCCGTTGCTCCGTCGGACCACCACATGAGGCCCTCACCTCCGCCGGACCACCGCCTGACATCGTTGCTCCGCCGGACCACCGCCTGATGTCGTTGCTCCGCCGGACCACCACCTGAGGCCCTCACCTCCGGCGGACCACCGCCTGACGCTGTTGCTCCGCCGGACCACCACCTGAGGCCCTCACCTCCGCCGGACCACCGCATGATGTCGTTGCTCCGCCAGACCACCACCTGAGGCCCTCACCTATGCCGGACCACCACCTTATGTCGTTGCTCCGCCGGACCACTGCCTGACGCCGTTGCTCCGTCGGACCACCGCCGGACCACCACTT